ATTTCGATTTTTCAAAAATTGTAAATTTTCGGTAAAAAAAATCTTGACCAAATTTGTACACTATTATAAAACACCCTGTATACGAGAATTCGCTAAATATATTTTCGAAAACCACATAGCATCTTAATCATAATAGATGCGTCTAAAACCTGGTCCAAACCGCATCCCAAAATGAAAGAGAGAAAAGAAGAGCATTTATTGTTTACAATCCAGCAATTTTACGGATCCGCGGGATTTATTGCTTTAATCCCGCGGGTTTGCGGGATTGAGATTTTGGTGCGGGATTGCATTCCCTAATTCGAACCCATAACCTTGAGATTGGTAGTCGAGAGCCTGTACCTCTACGCTACCGGGCACCTTGGTATAGTTAATATCTAAAAAAATATTTTTTTCAAAAAAAGGCTGACTACGCCACTGCATTCTACACAGAAAAGTGACTTTAGAATGTATAATCCATTTTTCCGTGGTTGCTGAAATAAACAAACTATGGAGCATTTTCAAAAAGTACAAACTTTGAGAATCCCCCTCTAGCTTCGAAACCGATCAAGATAGCCACGATCCGTTTGCGCCATTGTGATTTTTTCAAAAAAGAACCCGTGACTGCAGTATCAAAATTTGAATATTTCTCACGGTTTCCTAGATACCCTATAGAAACAACCAAAATGGTCCACCTTGTACTATCTTTTAATAGTCAATTTTATTTATTAACCAGAACGAAACTAAGGCTATATTCTGTGTTTGGCCTGGAATTTTTTATTACGGAACACGATTCCTGAAAAATATCTGTCATTATTGTCACCAAATTAACCAGCGCAAAAGGCTGTTTTTTCTAGATCGTTGAAAAGTTCCATTGGTATCCACTTGGGGTGGAAATGGAGAATGTTTTAGAAAGTATAGTCGAAATATCCGTAACCACAACAAACACCAGATTTATATCTAAATTAGGTTCTAAAAACTTTAATAAACGGGCTATGTAAGTCACTGTATATTCGTGGACAAATAATATAACTGAATAATACAAACTATTTAATAAAAAAAATATATGGACCATACGCTATTATAGAAATATGTATGTGCCTGCGATTTTTCCTTTTTTAATTATATAGGGTGCCTTTTACAACTAACAATACCTAAAATAAAATAATATTTTATAGTCTGTCCAATGAGCCAGGAACATACTACAATCAAAAAATGACAGAAAATATAATTTACCTGTGAATTAAAATGTCAGACTCAACTATCACGGATTCTCTCGTTGGACAGACTATACAGGGTGTCCCAGAAATAAGTAAGTATTTTAACTGCTGGTTTGAAAATGTTTTTGGACATTTTCAAAGAATTTAAGATTTATTTGAAAAACGATAAAGAGACAATATGTTTCTTTTATCGAGATCTACCAGCCCTTAAAATGCTTGCACTTATTTCTTGGACACCCTGTATAATACATATTTAACATTATTTATTATTAAAATTGTTAGTCCATCCAGAGTTATAAAAGGTACCCTAAAGGTAATGATAAAAAATATGCATTACCTAAAAATCTTAGCTTCGTTAACTCACCGCCTAATGTAACGTGCCTATAATTTGCGCTGTCAATTCAATTAAATGTGCCTTGAAATTGTTAATGAATCCGTACGTGTGTGCTAATATTAGTATAACATACGGGGTGACACATTTGAAATTCCAAATTTCTACATTAGGTCTGTCTCTTAATAGTCTAAGAGCTAGCAACGTTTTCGAGAAAGTATTTAAGACGTCTGGCTCTTTGATATATCTTTTACTATGCTCTCTGGAACAGCATGCGGCCCGTCTGGCTGCCGATACCCGTTGCGTTCACTACTGCGCATATAAAAAAGGTCATATATTTTTAATTAATTTAGTCCTATAAATTTTAGTATTGAATATTAATCGAACATGTCCCCATAGCGCAGTGCGTAGAGTTTCCGACCACGAACCGATGATTCAGAGTTCGAATCCGGGTCAGGTCAAAGACTTATTTATGTTATTTTCGTTTATATTTTGATAGTAAAGTATTAAATAATTCTGGTAATTAAAAAAAACAAATATTTAATACTTTACTATCAGAATATAAACGAAAATAAAATAAAAAAGTCTTTGACCTGACCCGACTTTGATTCGAACTCGGTTCGTGGTCGGAAACTCTACGCACTGCGCTATGGAGACATGTTCGATTAATATTCAATACTAAAATTTAAAGGACTAATAAAAATATAGGATCTTCTTTCAATGCGCAGTAGAGAACGCAACGTTTACCGGCATCCAGACGGGCCGCATGCAATACAGCATAGTAAAATATATATCAAAGAGCCAGACGTCTTAAAATACTTGTTTTTCCGACGTTGCTAGCTCCCGTACTATAATGAGCATACCTAAAAAAACTGCATGACATGCCTTTAACTACGTGAACTAATATTTAAAAAGCAGTTTCTAAGAGAAAAATTATATTTAATTAGCATGTAAATTTAGATTACAGGGGGTTGGAACCTTTGGTGTTACAATTGCAACACTAATTCACCACAATAAAATGTTCAGTTAAGAATTATTGTAAACTAAACTAACCTACCTATTTTACTTAGCTACTTGTCAAAACTATTATTTATTATATTATGTGGATTATTTTGTTAATACGAGTTTTAAGTATAATTTGTTTGCTGACTAATTTTAATATTTTGTAAGAAAATATATTGTCTGCAATTTCTGATGTAAGATTGTGAACAATTATTTTAGATATTATTTGGCGATAAAATCTGTGGTAAAATGAATCCACCAAGTTGGAAAAAAATATACAATATGTTATTCATAATGAGTCCCATTATGAAGACTTTATAGATTACTTGTTGATAAAGTTGTTCTAGTTAGAACTGTTTTGGAAATTTTGTCTTTCGGGTTTTTACACTGACATTTGTACAAATTTAAATGTATAGAAAATTGTAAGTCAAAAATATTTTTGTGAGTAGTAAAAATTTTATTCCGGATATTCGATTGTACCCAAAAGATATTTTTGTTAGTGGTTTGAATTACACTTATTAGATTTTAAGATTGAAGCATATACATATATTGATAAAATAATGATAAATGTAATATTATCTTTGTATTGGTTTGTATTGTGAATTGAGTGTGAATTTGAGTGCTAATTTTCGGTTTTATGCAATATGTTGTAATATTATGGTATATTTTTCTTGTTACATTATGTTTAGTAGGTTTATAATAAATGTGAAATTGTGTTTATAGATGCTTTATTTTTTTCCTAACAAATTCCCTTTCTAGTGTAGGTTTAGACAGTAATGTTTAATTATATTAAATTAAAAAGTAAGTATATTTAATAATCACAGTGATTTGTATGTTTTCTCGCAATAAATAAAAGGGATAAGGGCTGTGAAATTTTGTAATTTACAGATTGTTAACATAGGCTTTTAAATATTCTGTAATCTAATATATAACTCGACTTTTAGATATTCTTTTGATTAAATTTGCATTTTTATTAACCATTTTTTCTAGTATTAGTCATATCCTTTGTCATATCACTCTTGACAGTTTGGTACCAACATTTATATTTTATTCATTGCTACCTGTCAAGTCATGTTAAAATATATCAGATTGAAACAAATATTTCACATTATTAATTCAACAAATTTGTTGTTGGTTTAATTTTTGATACGAGGGTACAATACAAGGTGGCGCACCCCATTCACCTCGGTTGATTATATGAAAACTGAAAGATGTACAAACAAAATATTTTATGGGTATATTTGGGAAGGTAATGTGCGTAATTTAAAATTATTTAGAAATGTACAGGGTATGTTAGAACTAAGATCCACACCAAAGTTATATTTTTATAAATAAGATATTTATTATAAAGGTTAATTATGTTTATAAGCTTTGGTTTTTGAGATATTTAAATATGCATGCTATAATAAAAAAGATTGTCAATACCCTGTACATTGCCTTAGAGAATTAATTCGCTCCGCCAGCAGATACTGCTTTATTTAATTGATAAAATAGTGAATACTCACTTCTTAAACTATCATAGGTAAATTTAAGTAAACTGCTATGAATCTAAATAATAATGTCCCTAAACTAATATCGATTTTGAAAATAGTTACTGTCACTAGAAAATTACCATGGCGACACCAGCCATCTTGATTGCGATTTTATTGAAAAATCACTTTTTATTAAAAATCTGAACTAGATAGTTAGGTATAGGAAACCCTAATATAGTTTGAAAGAGCATTAAAATCTGCTTCGACTTGTTTTGAAAAATAGCAGGTGTTGCATTTGAAATAACGAAGTTTTTATATAAAATATATCCTTAAAACAGATAAGCAATTTTTGGTACCCCTGTATAAATTTAAGGAAGCAATAATATTTTCCAGTTAAGTTTTCCCCACCTTCAAATTCATTGCAAGAATTAATTCTGAAAAGTAATGTACAGGGTGTTAATCTATTCTATGGTGGCATGCATATTTAAATATCTCAAAAACCAAAGATTTTAAACATATTTAACCCTTATAATAAATGCCTTTTTTGGAAAGCAGAATCTAAAAATGAAATAAAATACCGGGTGTTCGATAAGAAAAAATATAACTTTGGTATGGATCTTAGTTCTGACATACCGTGTATATTTCAAAATAATTTTAAATTGTGCACATTGTCTCCCCACGTATACCCGTAAAATATTTTGTTTCTACATCTTTCCGTTTTTGTATAATCAACCGAGACGAATGAGGTGCGCCACCCTGTAGATTATACTAAATTATTTTCCTTTTACTAATGACCATATATTATAGTGATTATACCAAACGTAAAAACGCGATATTAATACGTTCTGCTTGAAAAATATATGTGTATTATCAGGAATTCTACTAGAGAAAAATTAATTTGATTTTGCAGAAATAAAAAAGTGACACACTAAAAAGTGGCATTATACCTAATTTATTTATATTCCTATTATACAGATAGTATATAAGTTAAAAATTAAGCATTCGTAACCTACAATTTATTATTCAGTACTCACAAAATATGTAAAACTGAAGATCAATTATAATAATTAAAATTCACTGATATATAAAATGGCAAATTCAAAAAAAAAATAGATATGCCATTATATTTAAAGCAACTTTAAATTAATTGTAAAAAAATATAAAGTGTGCTTTGAACATCTTATCAACGAATAGCAATTAATCCTGAATCTAACAATTTTTGTATTTTTGCTGCTATATCGGGATTTTTCAAATGATCTTGTAAAGCTCTAGGATCATTCTGCATTTGTTCTAAGATCATTCTCATTGCTGGATCTCTTAATATTGATTGCACTTCTGGATCACCCATTGCTCTTTGTCTAATTTTCTCTGGATCTCCGTCTAAGTTGGCATTTTCCATCGCACAGGCTCTATAACCTTTATAAAAAAAGAAAACCAAACACTAATTTGATGCTTTGAATCCGAGACTATTCTAAATTGCTTTTTCATTGAAAATTTGTATTCAAGTAGTAAAATTAACTAGATATTAATTTATCACAATCAGGGTTGAAAGAAAAAAACATGTTTTTTTTATTTTTAAAGAAAACATGTAATTTTAATGATTCTAAAACAGTTTTTTATTGTATTCACTTTGATTTTAACTTCAAAGTCGGAATTATGTAACTTTATTATTAAAACTTCTTTAAAACACTTGTTTTATACCGGGTGCGTCTCAAAAGTGGCTCACCCCTATAACTTTTTTGTTTTTTCACATAAAAAACGAGATTTGGTATGTTAGCAGGTATATGACATAAATTTGGATTGATTGACGTAATCAATTGTTTTTGGTCACTTCCTGGTTCACCAGAAATGACCACTTTTGATTTTTAAATGGCACCCTCGATATTTTTTTACTTTATTTGATAAAAAATGATACTCTGAATAGAATGACATAGCATATACCAACTTTTGACATTTTATCATATGATTTATTTGAAACTGTAACGTGCGGTTCATAACGATAATTTAACGCGAAATACCAAGTGTGTGGTACAAAATTATTCATAAAAAATACTTTTTCCAAATATGCTAATGAGCCACCCTCGTTCCATTTGAAAAAATTGAGATATGATTAAAAATACGATTTGGGCATCTTTTAACTGGCCAGGAAAAGACACGAAAAACATTAGACAATAAAATCTATTTTTCCAAGGTTACTTGAATAAAAATTTGTGTTTTAACAACAACCATGGCACTCTAGATTAAAATTTAAAATACGATTTTTTTTTCAAGCGAAAATGTCAAGAATTGACATATGATATGTTCAGAGTGTCATTTTCAAAAAGTAAAAAAATACCGAGGACCGAGGGTGCCATTTAAAAATCAAAAGTTGTCGTCATTTCCGGTGAAACAGGAAGTGGCCAAAAATAATTTAATATGTCAATCAATCCTAATTTGTCATATACAACATACCAAATCTCACTTTTGAGGCGCACCCGGTATAGACTTTTTTAAATTACATACAAGAGAGATATTTTTCTATTGAAAAAACTCTTATTTTTAAACAAAATATTTAAAACTTAACAACCCTGATCATTTAGAGGGGCCCATTTTGCACCTGTATAACAAGTTAAAATAATACCCCTGTGCTAGTGAAATGTTCTTGAAAAATTACACTATAAAAGACTTGTACCTTGCAGTGCTTCAGCATTATTTGGATCAATTTCTAATGCTTTCTGGAAAGCAGAAATTGCTTTGCTAGGTTGTTGCATTACTTGCAGAATATTTCCTTTCCTAACCCAACCCTTAATAAACTTAGGATCAAGCTCTACACACTTTTCACAATCCTTGAGGCCTAAATCGAAAGCAGCAAGCTTCGTATAGCATGCTGCTCTATTACTATAGATTTTTGGATCTTCGGGGTTGCGTTTGACAGCTTCTGTATAATGCTTAACTGCTGTGGCATAATCGCCCTTCTTGAAGAAGTCATTACCTAAAACAAATAAGAAACTAAGTATTTGTGTCGAAGAAAATTATTTTATTTTATAATTCTACCTATTTCTTTTTCCTTCTCTGCTTCTTCTGGATTGATATAAGCTTTTTTCTCTTCTTCCTTGATAATTTTTTCTACTTCAGATAATAATGTTCTAATTTCAGGAGTTCTATGTTCTGACATTGATTTCTCGTAATATGTCCTAGCATTGTTAAAGTCCCTTTTCTTCTTGTAGGCATTACCAATCCTCATAAAGGATTTAGCAATCATTTTAAAATCGGCACGATTTTCTCTACCTACTTCAATGCCCTTTTCACATTCCTTTATACATTTATCATATTCTTTCTGTTCAAAATAAACAGCAGCTAAGTTATTATAATATGTGATATCAGTTGGATCATGTTCTATAGCCTTGGTATAATGTTCAATGGCGCCTAAAAATTAACCTGTTGTTTTATATTTATATGTCAAGTAAGGCGTTAATGTAATACCAGAAAAATCTTTCTTTTTATAACAAGCATTTCCCAATTCCTTTTCTGCTTTGGCTGCTTTCTTATTTTCAGGCAGATCAGGTTCAGGTTCTTTCTTTGGTGCTGGTTTTGGTTCTTGTTTCTTAGGCGGAGGTGTATAAACTGGTTCAGTGTCCATTGGTTCATCGCCGCCTAAATTAAAAGTTGTTTGATAAAAATGTATAATTGTTTATACCGAGTGGAACATCGCCGTTGGAAACATAGGAAATCCAATGCAAATTTTGAACTGTCCAAATATTTGCCTGGTTCTGCATTGTTATCTGTTCAGTTTTAAAAATAGATGCAGTTTTTCTTAAATTATTTAAAATCGGCTTATCCAAAATTGTTCAAATTTGGAATGTGTATTCAGCATAATATGCAGACCTGTAAAAAACCTATTTACGACTGCGCTGTAAAATAAACAGGGAAGCCAATATTGGCTTGAGTGTTCAAAATTTACATGGAATTTCCTGTTTCCAACGACGATGCATCACACGGTATAACGTTATAATATACAGGGTCCGGCAATAATGCGTCGGGCATCTGTAGGTCCTAGAATAAAAAACTTGAGAATTTTGTTTAAGTGCAAACCTAAAGTATGTACCAGGATGTATTTCCGGAAAATATTTTAACTTCTATAGGGTGGCTCAAAAAAGTGAGTGGTCTGGATGACTTTCTAAATGGAACACCCTGTATATTATAGCATTTTTGGCTTCCTTTCAGATCACTTTACATAATCCTAAGATATGAGTAAATCTATTTCTATAGTTTCAGAGATATTAAAAAATAAATCAAAAATATATATTTTTTAACTGTTCAATGAAAACTATATTAGATATTTACTTTAGATGGTCGGTAATCGTAAATCATACAGAATATTCAATATTTTACGCCAAACTTTCAAAAATATAAAATAATTTTACTTAACGTCTTAACGTATTTCATTTTTTTATTTGATGGAGAATTAAAAAATGAACATTTTTTGTATTTAAGGTATTTCAAAATTTTTAATAGTTTTCCGGATACACGCAGTATTATTTCATATGGCGCTTTCAATGGTAAAATACGAGAGAAAAATCATTGGGTGGCTTTGATAAATATTTACTGTAGAAAATGCCATATGAAATACAAAACCGGAAATATCTGCGAAACCGTTAAAAATTTTGAAATGATCTAAATGCAAAAAATGATAATTTTTTAATTCTCCGTCTAATGAACAAATAATATACAGGATGTCCCATTTAAAAAAAAACAAAGAAAAATTATTGTATATTTTATTCTTGTTTGGGGTAGAATTTTGTACATCCTGTATGATTTACGATTTCCATATTTATAGCAAAGTAAGTACAGAGAATCTAAAGTAAATGTCTAATACACAGTTTTTATTTCAGGACAGTTCTTGTATTATTAATATTTTTTTTAAAAAAGGCTGAAAAAATATATAATTTTTATTTATTTATTAATATCTCTGAAATTATTGAAATATATTTACTCATGTCTTAGGTTTATGTAAAGTGATCTGAAAGGAAGCCAAAAATGCAATAATATACAGGATGTTCCATTTAAAAAAAATCATCCCGATCCACTCACACTTTTTTGAGCCACCCTATAGAAGTTAAAATATTTTCCTGAAATACATCCTAGTACAATGGCCTAGTACATACTTTAGGTTTGCACTTAAACAAAATTCCCAAATTTTTGTTCTAGAAGCTACAGATGCCCGACGCACTATTGCCAGACCCTGTATACTTATGTATCACTATTTTAAAAATGTTTAATAGATTCTGTTAAATCGTCAATAAATGAGAGGCGCAAACTTATACTTAATAATTATACTGGGTGCGTCTCAAAAGTGGCTCACCCCTAAGGACTTCTTTATTTTTTTAGATTCGGTCACTTCCTGTTTCACCGGAAATGACTACAACTTTTGATTTTTAAATGGCACCTTCGGTACCTTTTTTTACTTTATTTGATAGTTTAAATAACACTCTGGATAGAATGACATATCATATGTCAACTTTTGACATTTTCGCATATGGCTTATTTGAAATTATAACTTGCGGTTTGTAACGAAAAATATTTGACTCAAAATACCAAGTGTGTGGTATCAAATTATTCGTAAAAAACACTCGCTCCATTTGAAAAAAAATGAGATATGATTAAAAATACGATAATAACATTTTCTAACTGGCTAGAATAAGATACTAAAAACATTAGATGGTCGAATCTATTTTTCTAAGGCTCCTTGATTAAGTATTATACAATAAGTATTACAATTTTAAAATATTACAATTTTTTATTAAGCGAGAATGTCAAATGTTGACATATGATATGTCATTCTATTCAGAATGTCATTTTCTATTGAATAAAGTAAAAAAATGCGGGGGGTGCCATTTAAAAATCAAAAATTGTAGTCATTTCCGGTGAAACAGGAAGTGACCAAAAACAATTGAATACGTCAATCAACCCTAATTTATGTTATATACTAACATACCAAAATCTCGTTTTTTTTTACCTGAAAAAATAAAAAAGTTATAGGGGTGAGCCACTTTTGAGACTCACCTGGTATAGTAATGAGTTAACAGTGAACAGTGGTTATCACAACAATGGCCGCAATACAGTAGTTGTTCAACAAATCTTTAGAATGGTGGAAAAATTCACAAGGACAAACTACAGAGGCAAGCAAAACAGTTCATAGTAGAACAGTGACCAAAATTTATAGCAGACCAGATAAGCAAAGACAGGAAAGTCATCAAATCTGTAGTCGGTCTACTACATAATATGTATCTTAAGGTCAATGGGCATTTGTCAATTAAAGTTAATGTTCTTGAAAAAACGAAACCATATGCAGATTTTGTCATACAGAAATTGAAAATGTGTGGTTCTTTATACCGTATGATCTAAATAAAATGGCGTCCAGTTGGAAATGATCGATGACAGTCCCCTTATAATTTTACATATAAAATGACAGCGATCTTCATTTCATAGCCATCGCTGACGCCGTTTCATTTCGATCATATGGTACTAGGCAATGATAAACCATTGGCCATGTTCACTAGAGTGGTAAATGTGTGATTCTTTGTATCCTTGTATTTTTAAAGTAGATCAATCTAAGACGTTTATTAGTTGTAGACCTGTAGAGTAGGACTAAGACTAATAGATGGCTGGACCGTTTACTCTGTATTTTACTACAGAAAAATATTTTTTGTTAATCTGAATTTTGAAGCGACCAATAAAAACAGAGAAAATAAAAATTGATAATTTTTGAACTGTGCCAATTGACCAGATACTTTTTGTCTATTAGATATGCTATAAAAGCTGGTTATTATATCAAATCAAATTAAAGTAGGTATGTAACTTTTTTAAATATTAATTAACAGTAATTAGCATTATCACAAATTATAAATAATGTACCAACATATCGAAAACTTCTTTGTTAATTTAGTTTAGAACTCTTAAAATAACAGGCAAAAATAATCCACAATCAACAATAAAATAAAAGTTTTGTTTAAATTTCTTAATCAGCTGATCCCCTATTAAAGTTTGCAGAAATCCAGGGCTATATTATTACATTACTGTGAGGAAAATAATGAAAATAATCGATATTTTTGACTCCACCCCTAATCACATTTAAAGCTTCACAGTTTCTCCACCAGCTGGCAGCACATCTTGTCCTAACGGTTGAGTACGAAGATATAAACAAGGTTAGTAGATACTAAGCAATAATAAACAATTGGCAAAAAGAGCTATATGGACCTCTAAAGATTACAGTGAAATAAGGCCAATAACAAAATACCTCAAAAAAATTATTATAGCATAATTATTAACATAAATCTATATTCTATACAATTCTTGAAACTTAATGCAAAAAATAATTTTACTGATCGTAATAGAGGTAACATACTGTTGCTATATTATTATAACAATCAATCAAAATCACCAATCAATAAAAGTAAGAATGTAAACTATAAATATCTATCAAACAAAATGAAATCCTCATTACTATATGAATTGATAGGTTCTTGTAAACCTAAGGAATCAGGGTGGCATCAGGGAGAGAATACTCCAGTACCCTTACCTTATTTATGCAATTTAATGCAGAACATTGATATTAGCATGTTACAAAACAAATTATGTGATAAGTAAATCTGTAAAACTCACATTTTCATTGTAACTCTATTACATACTTACTTGTATCTAAACCCATTAAAACAGCTAAAGTAGTAAGTATCCTAGGATCTTGAAGTTTAGCTCCCATCATTTGTGGATTGGCTTGAAGTTGAGCTAATAAGGCTAAATATTCAGGATCATTTAAATATTCTGCAGTTCTGGGATCAGCTCTAAGTTTAGGAATAATATTTGGACCAGCAAATATATTTGGAAAGCCACCTTTACTTTTAGCTGCTTTTTGAGCCCTAACCTAGTAGAAAATATATATTATTTTAAAAAAATACCAATCTTATTGTACTTACTTCCGATAAACCTTCTTTTAATTGGTTATTATTGGGATCTAACTGTATACCCTTTTCATAAGTCTCTATAGCTTCATCATACCTTCCTAAATAAGCTAGAGCGGTACCTTTTCTGGAAAAAGCTTTACCCCAATCAGGTTTTAATTCCACAGCCTTTTCAGCATCACCTAAAGACAACTCGTAGTCATGAGCTTTTGCATACGCTGCAGATCTATTTGAGTATAGGACTGCATTCTTAGGGTCCAGATTAATGGCTTCTGTATAGTATCGTATCGCATCTTCTAATTTGTTTTCGGCCAGTGCGGCATTTCCCTTGTCTTTCAGAGAGGCTACCTATATCAATTCAATAATAAACATGAAAAAAAACATAACTTTGAATACTTATATACAAAATTTCACACCTGATCCATATTTTACAAGCACCCTTTATGCACAATTGGAAAAAACACAAAACTTTAAAATTGTTTATGCACAAACTCGCGCACGTTTTCTTTTCCAGAATCTTCGAGTTTTCTTGAAAAGAAATCCCCCCTCTTCTGTAGTTGTCAAAATCCGTTACGTCAAAATTGTCATTGAAACGATTGAAATGCCCGAAATACTAAATTTCAGAGTTTACAATCTTCGTCTATACAATTTGAGAAGTTAATCGCTAGATGACGCACTATTCCAATTTTAAAATTTTATATTGATATATACGGGGTGAGTCAACAATAAGTTCCCTAAAAAAACATAGGTAATTCGCGACTGAAACTTAAATAAAATAGTTTTAGCTTAAAACTCATCTTAGCTTTTAGCTTAATATCAATGGAAGAAATATAATTTGAATTAAATTTGAGTATACCGGGTGATGCAAAAAATATTGCGGATATACGAGGTGTCCCTCCATGAAGAATTTCGATGTAGCTAAAAGGATAAGGAAATGTCTGAACATTTGGGACATAATTAACGTAGACGGAGACCATTTGGTTAGAATATTTTCAAGACTCTAGTACTTCCGGTTTTAGGTCTATGAGTTTTTTTCACAAAAAAAATATATTGAAAATCGTGCATTTTCTTTTAAATTTTCCTGTATATCTTAGAAAACTTTTTAGAACTGCCTGGTTATCGCAAAATTTTTCCCAGAATAATTTCTTAATCTCTAATATTACTATGGTTAGGGCTTTACTCCATGGTTACGGCTCTAAAAGGGATGCAAATACAGAAAAATAAGGTAGGTTAAAAATCAGGTAGGTAAAATAAATATTTTTTTTTAATTTTCAAATTTGAATAACTCTGTTATTTTGGACTTATTTGAAGAACGTTAAAGAGAAAATATGTTCCTTTCATTGACTAAAGACCCGAGACCAAACTGTTACCATTCTTCCAAACAGTGCCGTGGCCCGTGGCACATATTTTTCTTAACATATATAGCTGCTTGAAGCGATATTTATATTTTTGATAAATGTGTTGACTACGCCTATGGTGTATGCGGTGGTATCATACTAATTAATTACGAAAAGAACGTATTAAAACGTTAACAAAAGATACAAAACTAGTATAGACGTACATATAGGTAGTACATAATATTATCAACTGCGTATCATATCAGAAAAATAATTATCGAATTCAATAAAAAAACGCTAAAAAGGCGGTGTGGACTGTTTTATTCCCTATGAAACGTAACCCCTGGCTCTTTCTTAGCATTACGCCTTTTACATTTGAAAGCTGAACAAATTACCATTGTAATAAAGTTTATACAAAGTTCACTACACACAACAAACTATTAAAAATCGCTAAAATTGTCGCTGCGATGATGACTCATTCGTTACTTCCTTAAAAATGGCGTCTAATGTCACAAATTCTGCTGCAGCCCGTATATGGGCGTTACATGTCCTTGTATTCTTTAGTTATTTGTTCCTTTTATCGAGATCTACCAGACCTGAAAATATTTGCACTTATTTAAGACTCACCCTATCAATAGCATTTTAAATTTTTCAAAGCCATCTGGGCACCGTTTTTTTATTATTAAAATTGGGAGTAGACAACTTTATACGAAGAGTATATGTAGGCATTATTTTTGAGGATTAATAAAAAATGGAGGATTCCATTTAAAAAATAGTTTTATAGTCTTCTGAGTATATTTTTATAAAAAAAAACAAAGTTTAACGGACATAACTTAAGTGTCTAAGCCCTTTTATAAAAATTGCTCGCTACAACAATGAAAATAAAATAATGAGGTTTAAACAAGACAAAACAAAAGGTTCAAAATTTCTCCATAACAATATAGCTACTATGATTTATTTAATATATGGGGAAACTTTACAATAAATCTCAATAACAATAGCCATCAATCTTGTTTAGTGTTTATTTTATATTCTTTTAATGACAAAGCTAACACAAATGTATATGGATGTTTAAAATTATGATATCACCATCCGATTTTCGACATCTGCAATGGCAGAATGGTACCTTTCGGTTGAAGGTACCGTTTGCGGCGGGTAAAATCCAACATTCTTAGCACTCTAAAGATTCAATTATGCCAGATCAAAGATTAATAATATATTTATGTTGTTTCTACGAACGGCAAAGTTTTCTTGACCGTGTGAAATAATAGTTTTGATCAGTTTTCTGCTTTCTATGCGGAATAAATGACTCGTTTGAAAAATACCGCATATTCCTTGAAGTACCAAGCGGATTAAGATTAACGAATTACTAATATGGAATTTACATATTTGATTAGAAAGTACAAAGGCAATCCAATAATCGCCAGCTTTTGGAATTCTTTTTATATTAAATTGTATGTAATTCACCTGAAGTTCACATAATATTTATAATTACACTCAGATGCCAAAAAAACAGAACGCCAAAATTTTTCGTCAATCTTAAAGTATTAAGTATATTTTTTTTTAAATTTAGCCCTATTTTCATTAATTTTTGTAGCAAACTGTGTTTAAATCTATCAACTTAATTCATAAACTCACTTTTTTTATAAACTTTAGTATTTGGCTTATTATACCGGGTGCGTCTCAAAAGTGGCTCACCCCTATAACTTTTTTATTTTTTTAGATAAAAAACGAGATTTGGTATGTTAGTATATGACATAAATTAGGATTGATTGACGTATTCAATTGTTTTCGGCCACTTCCTGTTTCACCGGAAATAACTGCAACTTTTGATTTTTAAATGGCATCATGGGTATTTTTTGTACTTTATTCGATAGAAAATGACATCCTGAATAGAATGACACATCATATGTCAAGTTTTGACATTTTCGCTTAATAAAAAATCATATTTTAAAATTCAATCCAGAGTGGCTATGTTAAAAATACTAATTCTTAATCAAGGAGCCCTGGAAAAATAGATTTGAACGTCTAATGTTTTTAGTGTCTTGTCCTGGCCAGTTAGAAAATGCTCAAATCGTATTTTTAATCATATCTCAATTTTTTCAAATGGAACGAGGGTGGCTCATTAGCATATTTGGAAAAAGGCATTTTTTACGAATAATTTGATATCACACACTTGGTATTTCGAGTCAAATTTTCATTACAAACCGCAAGTTATAATTTAAAATAAATCATATGCGAAAATGTTAAAAGGTGACATTTTGCCAGGTGGTTTTTTAACTGAAAAAATAAAAAAGTTATAAGGGTGAGCCACTTTTGAGACGCACGAGGTATAGGGTTAATTGAAGGATTGTTTTAGATTTTTAGCCTAACCTTAAAACAATCAGAACCATATGTCTCTTGAACATTTTGTTTTTTGACTCATGTCAACACATGCCTTGGTTAATTTTTAAAAGCGAAATGAACTTGATATGGACTCATCGTTCAGATCTTATGAATCCGTGCTGGTCACGATTCAATTGAACGGACCATATTATAAACAATGAATCAATTCTCACGAGTCTTTGAACCAACAATCGCATTGTGATCCGATTCAATTCTCACGATTCTTTATACAGCTCATCGTTCAGATCTTATGGATCCGTGCTGGTCACGATTCAATTGAACGGACCATATTATAAACAATGAATCAATTCTCACGAGTCTTTGAACCAACAATCGCATTGTGATCCGATTCAATTCTCACGATTCTTTTTTACGGCTCATCGTTCAAATGTTATGGATCCGTGCTGGCCACGATTCAATTGAACGAACCGTATTGTAAGAAATGAATCAATTCTCACGACTCTTTGAACCAACGATCGCATTGTGATCCGATTCAATTCTCACGATTTTTTATACGGCTCATCGTTCAAATCTTATGGATCCGTGCTGGCCACGATTCAATTGAACGGACCGTATTATAAGCAATGAATCAATTCTCACGAGTCTTTGAATCAACAATCGCATTGTGATCCGATTCAATCCTCACGATTCTTTTTTACGGCTCATCGTTCAAATGTTATGGATCCGTGCTGGCCACGATTCAATTGAACGAACCGTATTGCAAACAATGAATCGAATCTCACAATTCATTTTTAATACTCGTTCAAATGAACGACTCGTTCAATCTTTGCCCACCTCTAAGTTATGTTCAATTAACTTATTTTGTTTCAAAAAATACGTAGTGGTTCTATGTTCACGGAATATTGGATGGCCTAAACCACAACCTAAACTTAAAAACAAAGGATTAAATGAATCTAATTAATATAGATTCAGACCATTCAGACACCTCTATTATATTTAAGCTACCATTGTGAACCATTGCTAATCTGATATAGTGAATCTGAAAATATGTTTGAACGGTTTCTATTTAATATTTTCTATCTACTGTATGATCGAAAAAAAAACGGCGTCAAAGATGGCTGGGGAATGAAAATCGATAATAAATTAGGAAGATTACGGGCGAAGTAAATGACGTCTAGGGCTTGACCTCGCCAAAATTATCTCGATTGCCATTCCTCAACCGTGTGCGACGCCGTTTTTTTCGATTGTATCATGTATATATACATGAACAAACATCAGAAGTTTTATTTCTATAAAGTCAATTTTTAACCATACCACCATATTTTTACTAAAAAATATTAAATTTAACTACTGTGAGATTACTTTCTGTCAAATTCGAAAAAGTTACATAATGAAAAATACAGGAACCTTAATAAAAAATTAAAAAGTTATATGAGATTTTTTATTTTGTGTTTTACCCATGCAACATTCTATACAGGGTGTTTCAAAAAACATGTGCGATCTCTTGTGGGGGGATTCCTCACGTAAAAATTTAAAAAGATTTGTTTTTCATATCAACATAGGTCCGATTCTGCTTTGTTTCGTAGCTACAAGGTGTTAAATTCTTAATATTTTTTCGATTTATTATAATTTTCTTCCAAGTACTTTTAGCGTTTCGAATGAAATTTTGAGGGTAAAACTTACTATAAATGCGACATATTTAAAAAACTTAAGAAGTGTCAACATATTCACAAGGGACATGCATATGGGTTATCACTTGAATATTTTTCTAAAAAAAGCATGTACCCCACTGACTTTTTTTCTCTTGTTAGCAAAATAGTGTAAGCAGTTTAATGCCGATTAAAAGTTGTCTCTTGATATTTTGTCGAATTCGGCCTCCTTGATGAGATAA